CCCACGACCGGACCCACCCAAAAAATAAAATAAAAAATAAAAATTAAAAAAAAAAGTTACAGAATGATAAAAATCTAGTAAAGCTGTAAATATTTTCTCTACTTTTAAAGCTTCTGATTTTTTTATTATTAGGAAAAAACTGACTCATTGACTAAAAACATGTTAAACACTAAATAAAAATAATTTGAAGTAATTACACATTAATAATATGTTCTTGAATATATTTAATATGCTATTGAATACAGTTATATATATACTGAAAGAGTGGCACAATTAATTGAACTAATACTTACACTTCTATTTCTTCTCCCATTTACTTTGAATCAGAAGAAGTCTGTTCAGACAGAAGACCCATTTAATGATGAGCAACAAGAGAGGAAAGAAGTGGAAATGTTGGCTAAGAAGTTTGAAATGAAATATGTGAGTATAATGAACAGTATGCACTATGTAGTTTTATCCTATTGGCCTATTTTCTTTCTTCCTTTTTCTTTTTTTTTGGAGTCCGGTCATGGGGCCTGAACTCTAGGCCTGGGCGCTGTCCCTCAGCTCTTCAGCTCAAAGCTAACGCTCTACCCCTTGAGCCACAGTGCCACTTCCGGCTTTTTTTCTTTTTTTGCTTATGTGGTGCTGAGGAATCGAACCCAGGGCCTCAAGCATGCAAGGCAAGCGCTCTACCACTGAGCCACCTTCCCAGCCCCTGGCCTATTTTCTTTCTGTGACTAGTTGGGAACTCCTATGCCTTCTCACTGTCAGAGAGTCTGATAGGTTTGTGATGGTTATAGTAATGTGGACCAGTTATTATAGTTCTTCTAGAGTCTAGGCAGTTTGCTGAATATATACCTCTTCAAAAACTACCAGGTAAGTAGTAGGGACCACATTTTATAAATGAGGAAACTGAGGCTTTGAGCCTAAGGTTGAATAATTGATCTATGATCACATAGTATAGCAGGTCTAGCTCTGTTCCTAGGCTCGTCGACTGTCATAGAGAACACTATCTTAATTCCCTTGCTGTAGTTCTCAAACCGTCCTGCCTGAGAGTTCAAGAGAGTAAATGTGTGTGTGTACTATAAATGTATGGAAATGTACTATATATCAATGTATGTTTGTATTATATGTTAAATATACTATATATACCAGAAACATCATGGAACTTTTTTGAAAGCGTATGTTCTATAATGTATGTCATCATATATTAGGTTTTCTTTAAGTTGTTTAACATTTTTTCTCCCCCACCCCCCACGTTTATCTTATGGCTTTAACTACTCTTGACATTTTGCTGAAACTTACAAGGTTGAGAAACTACTCCTTCTGGCTCCCCCATGATTACTGAAAAATGTCTCACAAAGATAGGATATCAGCTCACACAAACCTTTCTATTCATATTATCCTCAAAATGCAGCTAGACCAGGGTTGACACTTGCTGGCTCCTTGTAGTTAAAAAACCATTTGGTGATGAGAGAAATATATGAGCTTAGATTGAAATTTGCATCAGATTCTATACGTACTTTACCACCTTCAAACTGTATCCTTTAGGTGAGGTTATTTTACTTTTTAGACCACAGTTGTTTTATTGTAAACAACTGAGAAGTTTAAGAATTTTCAAACACACTTCTGGCTTTTTGATCTGACTAATTATATGGATAAATTGATGAATAAAAAAATAGCACAAGGGCTGGGAAGTTGGCTCAGTGGTAGAGCGCTAGCCTTGCATGCCAGAGGCCCTGGGTTCGATTCCTCAGCACCACGTA